CTGCGGAGAGGACCTCGAACGCTGCTAGTGGCGGTTGGTCTTCCACGCAACTTGAATGGGCCATCCAGGGTGGAGGGGGCAAGTAAAACTTGGAAAAACCGCCCCCGTCACCTAGCCGGACGAAGTTGTCCGCATGTCCTTCATGCTGTGCAGCTCACGTGATCACAGTCGTTTACGTTCTCCTATGGCTGTTTGTTGACCGCTTTGTTCGTTTACGGCATAAGAAAAACGAACATTTAGTTTTGTAGCTCTTGGAAACTAAACACGAAAGCACTTCGGGAGTTGATTCTTTCCAAAAAGGTTTAATTAGGGGAGAAAAAGGGAATAGATATGTCAAAATTCGAAGTCTGAACCTATAAAACAGGTACACAGTAAGAACTGTAAGAAAAATGTGACATCGCTTCACTTGACAGGGGTAGACAAGATTTGCTAGCAAATGATTTCCACGCTAACAAGGCCATCTGTCCGACTGAGGTCAGCATGGCACCGAACATAGCAATTGGGCACAACAAACCCTATAGAACTGTTACAATTTCTTTCCGGGCAGTCGGTGATCCCTTAATCCCTGGGGTCGATCCTACTGTTTGGGTCTCTCTGACTGGCAAACATTTCGGAGAGTGTTCCACTAGTCCGTAAATTAAGTCAGTCTGTTCTACTCGAGAAGACACGCTCGATAAATTAAGTACTGCTCACAAGGTCAAAGAAAAGTTTGGGCATTCTACCATCGGTTTCACCCCTCTTGTGGTGTACTCCCCAAGATTCTGTCTAACTCATTTTCTAGTTGAAAACTAGGTTGCAACGAGAGGCACAAATTGGCACGTGGCTTCTTCTGCACAACGTCCGTTTTATGTTAAATTTGGCACCATATTCGAGGTAGAGAACTACATTTTCCTAACATCACCTGTAATAATGCAGGGAAGTTTTCCACAGCCCACTGCGGTTTTTTCCTTTCTCAGAGCTCATCAAGTATGTCAGGTATTCAAATTGGTTTTCACTAGAGCTACACTTAGACTTCGTCAAAACCAACCCACCATTCAATCGAAAACTATCATAAACCAGAAATTCGGATGAATTCCAGCAAGTTCCCCATTGAGACCAAGTCATTCATGAACGAGCATTTTAGAGAACTCCGACATCCAGCCTGCCTATACTGCTTCAACACATCCCATTGTTTCAGGCAAGCGTCGACTAAAGTTATCATTTGTGGGACCAGTCAACACGTGACATGTAATGTGGCTTCCATCACTCAACGATGAGGGTGCAACCTCCGCTCGTGACCGAGCGGTTAAGTGTTCGAGCCGGGATGTCACGTGTTCGAAGCTCCCTGGAGTTTCTTGAGATGCGCCATGTCGATGACTTTCAATAAGCAGCACTTCTTGGCTTTTCATCCCAACCTGGAATCGCTTACAGGACGAAATCCCGATCGATAATTCTCAAATATCCTCACACCACCATCTGCCGTCGAAGAGGTTCGATCCAGAGGAAATTTAGCTTGTGAGAACTGCTTGTTCCCCGAGCGGTAGACACTGTACTGCATTCTTTCCAAGTTATTCGCGTGATGGTCCAACTCGTTTTCGATTTCGGTCATTCAATTTGAAGTTTACTTGAATCAGATTAGGCATAACAGCTTTATCACTGTGAACACAAAGCGTTCTGCCCTATAGTGAATTTCCCCTATCCGAATCAGCACATCTCGCAAATCAAAGAGTATATCTGTGTTTTCCTGTTCGTTTCTCATCTAGACAACTACAGAACCGATGGACTGTTAAAGCCAGACACACTTTGTACATATCAGATTAGTCATCAGTCCGAGAACCAGTCCCACTATCGAAGTGGACGAATATTCTCCCCCTACTATCCGAGCAATTATCCACCCAGAGCCAATTGTCACTATCATTTTGTGGGAGCCCATACGGAGAGGATAATACTCACATTCCAGTCCATTCAACTGAATACAAACGTTCTGGATAAAGCTGCTCGGCATAAGCCAGTGTAAGTTTGTCTTTGATATATATTTTGTGGTCCACCAATAAACCGAGAGCCGTCTCTCTCTCTCCATATATGTGTGTTAGTCGACTGCATTACGTTGCCTCCAGGAGTTCCTTAGGCTCATTTATCACCGAATGCATCATCTGCATCAAGGGGCAAGATGGCTCAGTGGTTAGAACGCGAATTCACTAGCCGGAAGGTCCGTGGTTCGAACCCGACCTCTGCCTCCAGACTTCCCTTGTCTAGACTTGGGCAACCTGGTAGTATCCCAGCACTCATGCCTCCTTCTGGTGGCATGACAGTCAGGCACCGAAGGGTGCCACAACTACATTTCCCGGTTAGGTCTGACTAACTTTAGTCTGTTCAAGGATCCAGGATCGCGGAATTGTGATTAAATGATCGCCGGTGTCTGTGACGCGCGTTTGTGGTGCATTTTTCGGACGTTTAGGGGAGTTGAATGAACCGGGAAATAAAGCCGTTTTTCAGGCGCGCTACTTTTTCGGGGGTTTTCAGTTTTACTTTGAAATAACAGTGCAATACAAGTACCAAATCGATTTTTAAAAGAAAACACATCAAAATGGTGACAAAACCCGGCCTATCAGTTACGTGCTCATGCACGCGGAACTAACGAAGAATTCACGGCTTTGCACCAGTTCACAGAGGTTATGGAACGGAAAACTGTACTGGACCCACTTCAGTTCCAGTCCGTTTACGTCAAGTCAGGAAAACTTTGTGTTCCTGCGCCGTGCATTTTCGGCGTTAGAAGTCAAAATACACAAAACCAGTCACATAATTGACCAAACAAACAAATAAAATGCAAGTCACGGGGTAGTTATTAGGCCTGACTAAATTCGAAAGGAAATGGAAACGAATCATATTAAAAAACTAAGATGGAAGAAGCGTTTTGGAATCTTTTAAGAAGGGCGGAACCGGTCGTGGGCTTTCCAAGGGTTTTCAGCAACATTATGAGTAGTATTTTGCGTTCGGATCACTCACTAAGTTTGCAGTGAACTGCGGCAGTCATAATTCACTGTCATGAAACATACAGGAAACGTAGCTGTTCATGGACGTATGAGTTGGAAAAACGGGCAACGGAAAGTGCCTTCCGAAACGCCCGGTTTGGTTGGTGAGTCAGTAAGCGAATTAACTGTGCATATGCTTGACCTTGCACCTGTCTGTAAGAGCAGACCGCCGTTGGCACTTCCAAAGGCGTCTGTGTAAGCTAGCAATGTCCTTTTTCAGGAACTGAGAAACCGAATGCAAACTATAAGCCACCTTTATAATGTACTACTCATAAGATTGCTGAAAATCCATCGACAGCCCACGACCGGTTTCGCCCTTCTGCTTTGGGCTCATCAGGTAGGCGCAGTCCCCGGGTTTCCGTCAACCTCATGTTCTACTTGAAACCAAATTGCACGAAATTAGCGAATATANCTCATTTGCAAATCAATTTGGGGTCTTTCGAGAGACTCAACTGGAACCCAGCTGAATCTCTCGTTTATGATGTTCTCAGTCTCTCGAAAGAACCAAATTGGTTTGCAAATGAGTGTATATTCGCTATAAGCCACCTTGTTTCTCAGTCGAGAGACTGGTCCTCACCTCCAACTCAGTGGCTAGAATGCAGTCTCGAGAAGATTGCACTTTCAAACAACTTTAAAAGTACAGATTGGTCAAAAATTGGTTGATGTCCTGAGGTCTGTTTCCCGAACAGTTACGCCTTTTTCTCTTGGTGCAACACTGAATGACCGAACTGCAACGGGCACACCGAGCCACTGCATTCAGTGCCTCAACTAAACTGGCAATACAAGGTCGGGATCATCACTGTGTCATCGTTCACGACGTATTAGGTGGGTTAGAACAGCACCCAGAAGTGTTGTTGATAAGTGGAACTCATTACCAATCTGGAACTCATTACCAATCTCATATATATATATATATATATATATACATATATATATATCAATCTTTTTCGAACACGACTGGAACTGATTATCAGAGGATTGCCATAGAGCCCATCACATAGCAGAACAGCGCATGCGTGCCAAACATTGTGGGCGTTAATCCTCTTCAGCGGGTTGATTTCAACCTTTTTTGTGTAATCGCTGGTTTGCATGCAGTCTTCTCCCACCGAAGCTGCTTCGGACATATTTTATTTCGATCTATCAAGGTCGAAACAGAGGCTCAGAGAACTGGTCAAAGTGTGCTGAAGGTCTGGGAATCTAGAAAACTGAAAAACGCATGGAGTTAGGCAATGTCCCCAGTAAGCTTATGTATGTTAGAGTGAATTCTGTGAATTCCAAAGGATTGAACCAGCAAACGACCTTTGAAGTAACAAAGTACACAATGTGCAAAACTTCTGATGACGTGAGTGGAATCTATTGGGACATCATCATCATCATCATCATCATCATCATCATCATCATTGTCAGCTATAATAACCGCGTACTCGTCGTAAAGTGGTTGTAACTGCCGCAGTTTCGCTCACCGATGATCCCGGGGGGGTAGGTAGCTGCACTTTGCAGGTGGGAGCTGATGAATTGGTGCATAAATCCAGCATTGTCAGTGGGCTGTCAAGTGAGGGGGTTGGAAAAGGAGCTATGCATTGAAGGCAGTAAATTGGATACACGAGCGCCATTGAGGGCCATGTCTGATAATGTCTCTAACCATTGATGTGGCCCGTCTCGGGGTCTTCAACCTGGAAGACGGCAGTGACCAGCGCGGCTGAGTTTGCTGGTAATGGCTTTCATACTTCGCTGCTATTGGTGTCGGCAACCCTTGTTCCTCTGTCACGTAATCACAAACCGTTTGAAAGCCTATCTGTGAGAAGAAGGGTGAAACGGAGGGAACCTCCAGACAGTCAGTCAGGTAATCTGAACTGATACGGACGCTTCACCCATTGGTAGCCATATCATTCTGTCTCTTTACGCGAGTACTCCTAGGAATAATCATCCTGAAAGCTAGGCGAAGAGTGCCAGATACGAAACCGAATATCACTTTGCGTAGTTCACCTTTTCCTCAATGTAATCCCAAATGTAAAGGATTTGTTTAGTAGGTTGGTGCATAGTTACCTTCATCGGTTATATACAAATATATATTTATACATATGTACAGGCATATATATATATATATATATATATAGAGAGAGAGAGAGAGAGAGATTCTTGTAAATTCACAGCTATTTATAGGAGATTTCAAAGCTATTTACAGGATATTTCAAAGGCAGTTTATCCCCTACGCTACATTCTATTGTTTTGAAACTCACCGTCAAGTCCAAACACGATCAGGTTGTTCCGGTTCTTGAAGCCGAAGGGGTCTGAGCTATTCTCGATTGGTCGGTGCAGTTCGAGGGGATAAGTAGATGTAAACACTTCGAAGGACATGTCATGATATATCTTTTTAATGCACTACTGATAAGGTTGTTGAAAATCGTCGACAGCCCTTGTGAGTAGTACATTACAAAGATATACAAGTATCGCGATATCTCGAATATCGTAGCGACTGAAACATGAGGCGGCCTGGTGCAGCACATTCAGTTGCCCGAAAACATCACAAACGACAGATTCAGCTGGGTTCCAGGTGAGTCTCTAGAAAAACCAAATTAGTTTGCAACTGAGTGTATATTCGCTGACCTGTCATGATCATCACCAAGGTCGCACGACCACCAGGAAGTCATTAGTGGTCTACCAACTTATGCTGCCGGATTAGCCCGCGTCAGATGACTTGTTCCAGCGGATATCGGCGGTTGGTAGAAATGGGACGATATTATGGAATATCTCGTGACCTTGTGTTAAAGCGCGGAACAAGCTAACGATTTTCCTTCATAAGTAGCTGAATGAAATATGTTTCAGTACACGACTCATGGGCCAAACCTACAGGCTATATCTCTCAATAACATATAATGTATGCTGGAAAATGTTTAAGGAGCTTCTCGCATAGTAGCACAAACTTTTGCGCCTGTGGCGTTCCATTTGCTCGTTTTTGTCCTTCTCCGGCCTTGGGCTTCCATCGGGGCATTTAGCAACGGCATTGCCGTCATTCACCCCATTTCCATCATCCTCCACCAAAAACAACATTTCCGCAAAGCTGTGCCACGAATATAGCTTGTTGTTTTCCTTTCTTCTCACCTGCTCACCTTGTCCTCACCTCATAAAACCGAAGTAGGATTCCCTAAAGATTTCCGAAAGGAGAAGCATAAAATTCGTCATTCATTGGGTGCGTAGCAGTACTACTGGTGAGATTCTGAACCAGTTGACAGGCTGCGCGGTGAAACGACCGGTGTGTGATATGAGATTTATTGGGAACATGATGAGAAACCTATGGCTGAAAGCATAGCATGATTTATATTAGTGGAGAAATCGAAAAAAATCGAAATCGTTCAGCTGTAACACCCTTTCGGTGTCCAGCTGCCATGTCACACGAAGCAAGCACGAGGGCTGGGATACTGTCAGGTTGCCCAAGCCTAGATAAGGGAAGTCGAGAGGCAGAGGTCGGGTTCGATCCACGGACCTTCCGGTCAGTGAATTCACGCTCTAACCACTTGGGCCATCGCGCCCCAATATTAATGGAAAAAACCCATGTGTTACTATGAGATCATTTGAATCAGTGGATTCGATTCTCGTGAATAGCATCAAGCAAGCGACCACCTATCGAGAATATGTGCCACTTCACAAATACCCCACTGGAGGATCATCACTAAAAGATATTTCCATAAAGGAAACTACTCATGTGGTTGTTGAAATCTCTTCGACAGCCAACGGCCGGTTTCACCCTTCTTGGGGCTCATCAGACAGGCGCAGTCCTCGTCAGCAACCATATGAGTGATGTATTACGTCTATGCAACGTATCGTGATATCCCGACTGTCGTGCCAACTGAAGTATGAGGTGACCTGGCGCAGATGACCTGCTTATAAGCATCATAAATATAAGATTCAGCTGAGTATCGCGATCTAGTGAGCGATTGTGGGCAGATCAGTGAAGTATCTGGGTACAACGAGCCCCAAAAAGGGCAAAGACGGTCGTGCACTTCGAAGATTTTTCAGCAACTTTATGAATGCTGTAGTAAGTCTAGACAGGGATCTGTTGTTCAACGGTCACCGAAAAATCGAACAAGGCAAGGGGCGAGATGGCCCAAGTGGTTAGAGCGCGAATTTACTGACCGGAAGGTTCGTGGTTCGAACCCGGCCTCTGACTCTTGCCTTCCTTATCTAGGCTTGGGCAAGCTGGCAGTATCCCAGCCCTCGTGCAACCTTCGGGTGGCATGACAGCTGGGCACCTGAAGAGTGTTGCAGCCTAACATTTCTTTTCTTTTATGCAGGCAATGCAAGCTCACGATCCAAAACCGTTTATGTAACTACGAATACACAAGGGTACGCTATTTATACGATGCTTAGGGGATCAACAAAACCCTCCAGTTCCTGTCCAGCTGCTTTCTTTCGATCATTTATCTCAGATCAGTTTTGTTCATGATGTCGTTTAGTCATCTGAATTCCTCAAGTAATTTGCGACCCACTGACGGTGTTCGCAGGAGCTCTGCACTCCCAAATGACACCAGTAAAACTGTTTTCTGCACATACTTTCTCTTCCTGATCCTTTTGCGATCTCCCCAACAAGGAATTATGGAATGGTATAACGTTTTCATGTTGTCTTCAGGTAATTCAACATCCGAATCCCCCCGCTTACATCGAGACACTTGTCTAGTTGGCTGATTGTTATCACATCTGTTCACCCTGAGTGTCACTCCTAGGGAAAATGTATTTCTTTATGCACACAACAGGCGCACGGAATTCCTGTGAAACTGAGAACGCAGGTGTCTGGCTTCTAAGCTAAATTACAGCTAGCGTCTTGCCAGAACCTCCCATCTTCGTTTTACTGTTGTGTCTAGGATAGTTAGGCCAGGTGCTCCTACTAACCACTGTCTTATAGACACAGTGTCACTTCAGTCCGAACAGCATCCCCGAATCGAACCGACCTAGTAAAAGTAAATGTTCAATTCCGATAGATGTCGTTAGCTTGATGGATATGGCGAAAATGACCCCGCTGTTAGGACGGCTGTATACAGGAAAGCAACACACCTAGATGCTGATTTACGTTCAATCTCAACGAAGGTGACTGAGTTTCAGAGGGACATGGACTAATGAGGTTAGGTAGGTAAGGGCTGTAACCAAGGTGTAGTACACGCAAACAGTTTGAATACACCTCGGTTCAACAGCTCTGTCAACCCAACATGACGTCGACTTTTTCTTATCCTGAACGAAACCGATATTCGCGAAAGGGGACAGGTCACCACCAGAAGATTTGCGATGCTCTGAGAACGAACAAAATCGGGTTAGACTCATAGCCATTTGCATACCGATCTGGTTTTGACGGGCAACTCACCGCAACCCAGCTGAAACTCTCGTTTATGATATTCTTCAGCTCAGGTAGAGCGAAACCGGCCGTGGCCTGTCAAAATGTTTTCAGCAACCCCATGAGTAGTATATTACGTTAATAAAATTGGGTTAGTTGTCACAGCAATTCTCTAATGTATCTCATTGCCATGTAGCCTTGTGGACAACATCCTCACAACCCAGGCAAATCCTGTAAGTTTCTTGCGGCAGTGATGGGTCATTTGACTCGAACATAAATTCAAGAAACGATAGAGTTACTTGTATATCTTTGCAAAGTACTATTCATAAGTTTGCTGAAA